TGCTCCTGATGATCAGGAGAAAGGTCTCTGGCTACTACTGTGCAGGGGCAGTTTCTGTAAATTCACTGATTCCGTCACTGTTTCAGAAAAAGGTCAATGCTTAAGCCTTCAGTGGGCAGAGAGCCTCACGACCTTCAAAATGCTTCTGATGGGATATGGAGCAAAACACGGGCTGTGCATTAATGGCTGTGCGCTCCCAGTGCAAGGTTTGGGCTGCCCTGCATAATTGAATGCGGATACACTCGGAGAGCAGGTGAAAACAGCCTTCACTTGCTAAGGCCAGAACTTTCAGAGGCCTCCCTCTTCATGCCTGTGCCCGTACTATGCAAATCGGTCAGTGCCTGAGCAGACTTTCTGTGGTGGTAACACCTGCGTAAATATGAGACTCCAGGCTGGTTGATACACACTTACATGTGCACTAAGGTTTCTCTGTGCAAGTGCTGGGAATGATTGTAGTGCGAGCAGGCCCTTTGCCTGCAGATTAGAAGGCTGGGATGCACTTAGTGTTTCCAATCAGTTTTTAAAAGCCAAGTGCGAAGTCGCAGTTGGGCCTCCACAAAACTCAAGCACTTTCTCCAACTGGGAATACAATCTGGTCTGTTTCCTGGCTTGGGGCAGTCTTTTAGTCATCCTCCGTGGCAGTGGACTGGCGGGTCAGTTCAGTTCCTAAGGGGCTACTGAGACTCTGGTGCACCCCTTGATCCCGGGTGGCACGTGGAAGGGCTGGCTGTAGGGTCCTGTGGTTCCCGTCCTCACAGCATTTATCTGGCGGGTCGAACGGTGCAGAAGGTGGAGTTCAGCTGCGTTTCTTTTCACAGAACTCGACGGTGACGATTGAGGAATTTCACTGCAAGCTCCAAGAGGCCACCAACTTCCCTCTTCGCCCCTTTGTGATTCCATTTCTGAAGGTGATGGTGAAAGTGCAGGGTCTCGCTAATGTGTCACACGCTGAACGGGGCAGCCTGTGTTGTCCGGCAGCAGGGCCTCTGGATGAGGCCCAGGGTGGGCCAGGAGATTGCCTGGAGTGGAGGGGGGGGACACCTGGCACTGCAAGCTCCAAGAGGCCACCAACTTCCCTCTTCGCCCCTTTGTGATTCCATTTCTGAAGGTGATGGTGAAAGTGCAGGGTCTCGCTAATGTGTCACACGCTGAACGGGGCAGCCTGTGTTGTCCGGCAGCAGGGCCTCTGGATGAGGCCCAGGGTGGGCCAGGAGATTGCCTGGAGTGGAGGGGGGGGACACCTGGCGCAGGATGGCTGACGGGGGCCGGCCCCGCTGGACTCAGAAAGAGC